GGAAATTTAAACTAAAAACACCATAAATGGTGACTGACCATAATTCTCAATGTCTTCAGGCATGTCGTAGTTGATAACATGTTCGATGCCCTGTAACATCGCAATCAGAATAAGAGTCATAAATATGGACGTAGTGTGAAATGTAAAACACTTGTAATCAGTAATGTCAATAAACTTTAGAACAATTTAGTGAAGGAAACACTATTTCCTTCCATTTTTTGTGATGCTTTTTGTCTATAAAGATATGCGAAGGTCGTCTTTTGTGGCCAAAAGGAAAAGAACGTTAACGAAGAAGTGATAGCGCCAAAGGATTGTGGGCGTTTTCGACATTTGTTCTTTCCGCCTCTAACTCACAAGTCATTGTGTCGACGCAAGGGTTTTCGGTAAAAACAATTTTGCAAAATGCTCAAAAAAGGAACCAAACCATTGATAGCCATATATTGCTGTGAGATTGAAAAAACTACATGAAAAATTATCAATCACATTTAAAATAAAGGACTTTCATGATCTCATCTACAAACGCCTTACCTGAAAGTCGAGACCTTTGGAAGCGACATCTGTTGCCACGAGCACATCCTTCTTTCCATGTCGAAAATCCTCAATTCCAGTATGTCGATCCCGTTGATCTACAAGCAAACTACAGCGCATTCAAGCCGAATGAGGAAAACTAGCGGAAGCAATACCATACCTTTTCCGCCGTGAATAGATACCACTTCTACGCCTTTGACTAACAGGTATTCGTATATGTTGTCGACATCCATCTTTTTCTCAGCAAAAATCAGCACTCTGGAATGCACGTAGCAGAAATTCGATTCTAGGTCTTGCAATGTATTGTTAAGGGAAACTGTTTTTACTTGGGTGGAGTCTTCTGAAGACATTCTAAAATTCGCGTAAGTTTATCCTCCGTCCTTACGTACTCAATTTCTTGTAAAACGTTCAGAGAAGCTGCTCCGGCTCTTCCCACGTTTACGACCTAGAGAAGTAACATGGTTTCAAATGCTCACTAATTCATAACAACTTCAATTAATGAAAAAAATAAGTACCACTGGCCGCACAAGTGCCGATTTCGCAAAATTTTGGATTTTCTTGGGCATTGTGGCTGAGAAAAGCAAGGTTTGACGTTGAGCCTAGAAAGCATGTGAGTATGATATAGAAATACTAGTACCTTCTTATGAGAGCCCACAAACCTTGAAAAACGCAAATATAGATTTAAGCTCGTCTTCAAAACCCATATCCAACATTCTGTCAGCTTCGTCAAGCACTAGGTAGCGGCAGATCTGCAAATTAAAGTA